TGGAGAATTAATGGATCCAGCTGAGAGAATCACTTCTTTTTTAGCAAAAACTCTGTTTAACTTAGTTCGGTTGCTTTCTGAAGCATATTCTACGCCTATTACACGTTTCATTTTTTTGTCTACAAGCAATTTCGTAACGTATGATTCTGTCTTAATATTTAGATTCTTGCGTTTGCATCTGATGGGTTGTATGAAAGCTTTGTTGGTGCTCTGACGTGTTCCATTAGCGGAAGTTGTTTGTAGATTCATCACACCTAATTGGGTCTTTGCGTTGATATCTACGAGTTCGTAACCGAGTTCTTGCCATGCTTGCAGCAAGATATCGTTGTTGATGTCGTTGTACGGGAATCGTTGTACCGATTGGTAACCACCTTGACTATGGTAGTGTGGATTTTCCTCTACTATCTAGAGAAAAGGATGGTTTGACCTGGATGGTTCTTGGTATGTAGTGATATATCAAATTTAGTACCTCTAGATTTTTGTTATTTTCTGATTTCAGAAAGTATGGTAAAACTTCTTCGTAACTCCAGCCATAATTTCCTTCTTCTGCCCATTCGTCGTAGTCTCTTGCGTTTCCACGGATGTACATCATCAAATTGATAGTACTGGAACCACCCATCACCTGTTGGTGTGATAATAAGTTTTTAAAGGCCCAAATATCAAAAACACTGTCACTAGAAATATGTATATTTTAATTTATGGATTACCTGCAATATTTCTATGTTTTATATGAATTCCTAGATTTATAGCAAACTTCACGATTATAACTATTATATATGTTAAGAAATATTATGTATAGAGGTTACTTTCAGTGAGTTCATTGAAATAGTTTTTCGAGCTATGATGGTACAAAAAATAGTTTTCGCCTAACATGAATGGTACAAAGAGATCAATTCATCAACATTGATGTCCAAAGATTTAAGTTTTTCTTGCAAAAAATGATTAGTCTCGTATTACTCAAAATCCCACTGAGAAAGGCGCATACGAACACGAGAATCTATTCCGCGAAGATTTTGGTGAATAGGTAAATGGTACAGGTGAACATTTTTTCATGCATTTATTCATTTTTTCATAATTATAGACATTTAGTGTGTCAAAATATATGTAAACATACTTTGCCCTTTGGTGTCTCGCACTCATTGTTCTTTTTAGATCGACAAGAATATTGCTGCGGTTGTGTGTGA